AGAGGAATTGCGGAACCTTTCCTCAATGTCCTGGCGGCAATAGGATGTCAGTTTGGTTCGACTATTCAGTAAGTCCGTGATTTTTTGCGTATCCGGCATGGTGCTTACACTGAACAGATTCCAGCGCACCTGATCGAGCAGCTCGGGAGGAGCATTATACAAATGCTTCATGAGATACTCGAGGAAGAGCAGCAACCGCGAGAGCAGCATCATTTGGCTATTCCGAACAGGACGCTCCGCACTGATGCCGCGACAGACATCGGCACAGCGAATGACACCGCCAGCAGTGAGCAGCAATATCGATTTCTTCTGCATCAGATTTAGAGAATGGAAGAGGAAGAGCAGTAGCTGAGCGTGTTCAATATTCAAGTCCTCATAGTCAGTATCGCTGGCATTAGCAGACGAGCAAACGCCCTCGACCAGCGTGTTAATGAGACGATGCCAGACAGACAAACACGCCGCCTCCTTCTCCTGCGTCGGCTTTAACAACAGAATCTGCACCAGAACGGACAAAGTGCTGGGATAGACCTGAAGTGGCCAACTGTTGGTATCTGTGGACCATGGTGAAATGGCCAAATGTTGCAGTAGATTCGATTGTAACTGCTCCGAGAGCAACGATGTCGAGATCAAGTTGTGTATATAACGTCCGGCAGCGCCCGAAAACCGAATCATTGCCGATTGCCAGTTGGAGCAATTGCCTTCGCCACCACCACCAACGCCACTCGAATTGCCACCGGCCTCTTGACGCATAACATCACGATCAAAGTCTTTGATAATATTCGCCATGAGCAGCATTTGCTGATCACTGACGCCTGCCTTCACATAGCGCTGCATGTAGGCATGTCGATTGGCCAGGAACTGGTCCAGGAAACAGAATATGTCTGCAGCCAAATCCAGATATTCATGTGGCTCATCCAGCCTGGGCACTAGTGCAGATTTTTGCTCTCCGCTGCGCTCCTGAGTGCATGCATTAGCATTATCATCATGTGTTTCGGGCGATAGCGTCTCCTTAAACCAATGGCCCAAATAGCTTTCGCTGTCATCCTCCTCAGAGTTGTCCGAACAGGAGAGGGAATCATTGAAATAGGTCGTTGAGTCTGAGTAGCTAATTGGTTCACATTCGGTGCGATCTTTGGCACTGGCACGCTTTAAGGTGCATGCCTTGCGATACGCCACAGTGGCCAAGAAGGTGAACAGTTGATGCAATGTGGCCGTGTTCAAGACACGCACTATACGCTGCAAAGCTGTGTAATTTTGCAATATATCAAATTGTGCTGGCTCCACGTCCAAGCAGGTGATAGTTCCGGAGCTGCTGGTCGAGCCGCAAGCTGATTCAATTTTTAGGTCATCTATAAGCTCTGAGAGCAGTTTGATGCTATGATTGGCAATGGCTGCATTCAGCTCGCCAAATCCTTGCTGCACCTTGAACAGATTAACACGCGCTATGGGCGTACTGGGTGTAACATTCGAATCGGCAGTGCTGGCTGCACTTTTGCCCGATGATGAGCCGCTGCTGGTGCTACTACTGCTGCTGCTCCCCGAAGCGCCCATGGCGCCTTGAATGCCACTTATAAGCAGCCAGGAGCCATAACACAAATGATTCTGATAGACATGCATGCGAGCGGAGGCTTTGAACATCTCTCCAATGCTTGTGTAAATCTCTAGCGCTTTGTTTACGATCGTGCAGGCCTGTTCCTCGAAATCGTCGTGATCCTTGGCCCCAGTTGAAACATTGCTGTTGTTGCCGCTGCCCTGGCTAGTTGTTGCCGCAGCAGCTGGCTGTTGCTTCTGAGAGCCGCCACTGGCCTGGCACATGCTCAGTACACTGGCCGCTATAGAGGTGAGTACGGCATTGTACAACGCCGCAATGCCGCACATCGATAGCTTTTCGATGCGGCTCGGAGTCAGCGGCTGCAGCGCAATTAGCGAATGCGCCTGCCCCAATATGGACAGATCGGTTAGCATATGGGCCATAGCCGATTTGACCGTGCTAGCCTCCACTTGGGTGAGCGGCAAATATAATGCCTTGCCGCCCATAATTGCCTCCTGATATTTCGAGCGATAGCGATTAAGTATGGGCAAACAAATGCCGACGTCAAGTAAGGTATCCACGCCGTTCTGTTCTTGGAAGTATTCAACATTGGCGGCCAGCAGTTGTTCCTATCATAGAGAATAAGCATTAGAAATATATATCCAATTGGAAACTAACCAAAATCGAAGAAATGTTTATCCAATAAGCCAATAAAAACGCAGATACATATCGAATATACATAGAACAACATGGTTGTACTCAACTATATATAGATACTATATCTGCAGAAATAAAATACTCATTGGACTCTTGCTTACTGTGCAATCGCTGATCTCTTCGCTCAAAGGCACCCAGGTCATTTTTCCAGGCTCTAGGGGCGCCAATAGCTGTTGCAATATAACCGTCGAAAGATCTGAACGGGAACGTTTAATCTCCGATTTGGGTGATTCTTTTTCAGTGCCAGTAGCGCTGCTAGCAACGCTGGTGCAGCTGCTGCTGCTGATGCTCTTGCTGTTCGATTCTGGATGTTTGGCGCTCTTCAAGACAGCCGCCACGCCATTATAGTCAAACTGTGTAGGGGAGCCTTGGGTAACGCTCTCGCGTCCCTCGCATAACATTTTCAATGCGCCCAGCAGCCATTTAATCTCATACACCGACACCTTTGGCAGTCGGAAGAGTATGAAACGTATGAGCACTGCGCTGGCATCATGCAATTGAGAAATTTGTGTCTGGCATACTAAGAGAAAGACGTATAGAAAGCAAACACAAATGCATAAGTTAGGCTTAAAATATTTATATCGTAGACACTATCCCAGCTGCGACCTGACATTTCTTTCTGATGCAGAATATATATTCAGCTGCGGTCATAATACGTATATTTGTAATACGTATATTTGTAAATATGAATAAATATACATATGCATGTGTTTGTGTGCATATATGTACATACACATATACATAAGTACATATATTCCCAGCAGGTATCTCATATAAATTAACAATAAGCCACATACATATTCACACAGAACACACTAAAATAAAACCAATCTGCATTAGTCATGCGTATATTATTGCTTTTTCTCTAGCAAATTCTCTTTTGTTGCAAACCGAACAGTACAAAAAATCATTACGAAAAGCATGGCAAGAAGGGGCGATACTTACTCGACTTAATTTGCATTAGCTTGTCGGCTGCCAGAGCCGCAAATGCTGTGTAGAATTGTGTATAATTACTTTCATCATCGAAAAATTCATGTTCACTGCAAAAAAAAATAAGTTGAAAATATATATTGCATTTGTTTGCAAACTTACAAAAGTTTCGTCATAGCGGGTCGCCATATTTAATTTGCAAGTCACCTTGCAGACAAATTTTCAACTGCGCCATTTGGCCATCAAATGTTGTTTTCAGAGATTAATTCCATATGTACTCACCATTTGGTAATTGCCTTTAATAAATTTGATATTTCATTTTTGTTTAAAGCGCTTGTACGGTTTGATAAAAGTGGTTTTACAACCGAGTTCCAATCCGTACCTCCGCTGTGCGCCGACATTTTTTTAACTCTGACGTCCCTTTTTTTTCTTTTCTCGTCGTCGTCTTCTTCTTGTTAAAGTTCGATTGCTTTTGCAACTGTCAGCGGTGCGCTTGCTTTGGTGCGTGTTTAGCGGTAGTTTTGTTGTGGCGTATTCTTTGTTTACGTATATAACGAAAATGGAAGACGTATAATTTTTGGAGACTTGTGTGTGACACACCTTTCGTGCACAGCTGATAGATAAGTGTTGGCTAACAGATTTGCAAATTTCCACAAAAATTAAATGTTAAATTTATGTAAGTACATTAGATAAAAATCATAACGCGTACAAATAATATAGGTATGATATAACCTACAAAATAAATAGGCTACGCATACTGTGTTATTGTCTAAAATGACAGAATTGACATTTGACAATTTTTCGGTTTTCTATTGATAGGACAACACTGTTCAATGCAACGCGTGTTTTTGATTAGCGCTGAATTGCTTGCGACTACATTTAACTTTATTGAATTAAATTGAAAGAAAATGCAATTTCATTTCAAAATTGCAGAGCCAGAAGCGAACGCTACGGGCGTCCCTAATACTACTAATCCACATAGTGCATTACAGCCGCAACAGCCGGCTGTGCTGACTGAGCCCAAAGATGCCCAACATGAAATTAAATTGCAGTAAGCTTTTGCAAATACAACTGTTAATGGAATGAGCTAATTATTTATTTGTAGAAACATCGTTGCCACCTTTTCCGTAGACTGTGAGCTAGATTTGAAAACCATCAATTCGCGCACTCGCAACTCGGAATATACGCCCAAACGCTTTAGAGGAGTCATTATGCGAATGCATTCACCTCGTTGTACCGCTCTGATCTTTCGCACCGGTAAGGTGATTTGCACAGGTGCCCGCAACGAAACCGAGGCGAACATAGGATCACGCAAATTTGCACGTATTCTACAGAAATTAGGTTTCCCTGTTAAATTTGTCGATTATAAGCTGCAAAATATTGTTGCCACTGTCGATTTGCGTTTTCCCATTCGTTTGGAGAACCTAAATCAGGTGCATGGCCAATTCAGCTCGTATGAGCCGGAAATGTTTCCGGGCCTCATTTACCGCATGGTTAAGCCACGCATTGTCCTGCTTATCTTTGTCAATGGCAAAATTGTGTTTACTGGCGCTAAATCGAGAAAGGATATCATGGACTGCCTAGAAGCCATATCCCCAATTTTGCTCAGTTTTCGCAAAACGTAGAGCTTATATTTATTTATGTATCCTAAGTTACTTTTAATAATTGTAGCATTTATCGAACAATTTAATATATGGTATTTAACTATTTATACAGAATAGAAATGCGTTGTGTATAAACATAAACACAGACCAATGTGACCACACTTATTTTAATTGCTGTTGGCTGCGGTGCTATGTGCGCAGGCAGTGTGGCCACACACTGTGCAATTCATTTACATCTTGTATTTGTCTCTCCATAGCCAGTAAATATTCCGCGCTAATCAATCAAATTCAAAATGTTCGTTAATTTTATTTGTTATATTTATTTTGTCGTTACATAGAAAACGTAAAATACAAAAAAATATTTCACTTTATAGTTTCATTTCATTTCACTTCTCTTACCATAAATGGAGGGACGGAGTACTTGATTTGAGAGTACATGGCTTTATATATATAGTTCGTATATAATATACAAGAGCAATATCTAAACTGTTTTTGTCAAAAATACAAATACGTATTAAACTTAATCACTAATTAGATTCATTTTGTTGCATTATTTCAAACACAAATGTATTGGACGGTCGCTTTCAACTCTAATCATAATCCATTAGCTTTTACAAATAAATTGTTCATTTTAAATATGTAAATAGAAAATTTGATATGCATGCAGTATTCAAAAATATAAAGGTTGTATATATAAACTATCGATTTCTAAAATCTAGTAAAGGCAATTTGTGATATAATAAAAGACACATTCTTGTTACATGCTTTTCTTTTTTCACTTGACTTTTCAGCTTTCATTTAAAGCGGCTTTTAAAGCGGTTGTCGATAAGGCAAAGAGATTCTTTTCGTGATCCAATTGATACAGCTTACAATATTACTATATATATAACTATATATAAGTTAATGGTTTGTGTACATAAAATTTGATATTTCATTCTGTGATTGCTCAAATTACAAACACAATTTGTCCAATTGGATGCGATGTTTCTTTCCTTTTGTACATATCTCGAGATTACGATTAAAATGTTGATTACAAAATAATAATAAATTGCTAGCAGTTGAATATAAGATAAACGTCTGGACGGAATGCAATTTCGTAAAAAATAAAATTAAAAAAACATAAAAGAAATATTAGATCCAACTATAAAAACTCAACACTCATTCGAATTCAAAGCTAATAAGCTAAACATAACTTGTGTTTGGTTGTTAGACATGGGTGGGCGACTGCAAGGATGTATGGATGGATGGATTTGCCTCTTCTAGGTGAATAGATGCAGAGCTTGAAGAACTAGATGCGTACGACTGCGCAGCAGATAAATAAATACGCTAAAGAACAATAGCGAGAGCGACATCGACGAACGCCAGCCCATATTATAGATGGAACAGTAGGGGCACTGCGAGCTGCCGCACACCTCGCAAATATTTAGCAGATATGTGGGCAGAGCATCAAAGATGGACTCGTTGAAGCGCTCTGTATGGGAGTAACAGGAAGGTATAGTATTAAATATATGTAGTTATAGTATGGAGGCTAATTTCTCACCTGGTGCATAGTAGTCATAGATGCGCACGGGCAGGTAACGCGACATATTGGCCACTGGATACCAGCGCTCTACAGTAAAGTTAACGCATATGTCTTCCTGATCCAGCTATAAATATAATAAAATAATGATAAATAAATTATTTGATAAATGAGATTTTAGCTAATGTAGAACTAAAACACCTAAGTACGAATATACTCCTTTTCCCTTTGAGAATAAAAGTATATAAAATATATAAAAGCTCGACACTTACATAATCAAAATAGAAGACAATCTTGCGTTCCAAGTATTTTGCCCGTCGCAAATTGCGCACACGATTACTCAGTACATAGCTATCCAGTTTCTGCTGCTGTATCCAGTAGCCCGTGGGTATGGCCACATCTAGCACAGCCATGCCCGAACGCTCCGATTCCTTGGTGTTAACCCAGCTGGAATGATACATACAGATTATTAAATTAGTTAAGATAGTGATCAATTATGAAACTTACTTTTGACAGGCGACGTAGGAGATGTGCGACTGATTTCTGCCATGGAATATGGCATTTGTATGCAATCCAAAGGCTGGAACCGGCGGCTTCGTTTGGAATTTTGCTATATCCACATTGTATTGAACGTGCATCTGCAGTATAGCATAGCCAGCGCCCTTGGCCTGCACCTTAATGGTGCCCCAAGCATCTGGTATCTGTTTGAATAAAGATTTTTATTATTGTCATACTTCCTTTAACTATCTATCTAGATCAGTGCAACCAACCTCAATGCTCTGCAACCTGGCCAAATTGGTATCATCAATGCGCAGCTCCTGGGTTTTGCCGCCCTGTGAGGATGCTTCAATTTCCACACTCAACGAGGACACATCACGGATACGTGAACGTACGGTATACTCGACCAAGGCACGCAAGGCTGTGCTTGTGTCCTGCGTGGATGCCCAACCGCCTTCATTCAGACGTTGTGCATTCAACCATCTCACAATCGGTTCCACGAAGAATTCACGACGTGCCACATAGACCAGCAATGCATATGCCGTCGTCTCGATATTCAGCGAATCGTATTCATACGGCAGTCGCGGCAATGAGAACCACTTTTGATTCTCCAGCTTACGTGGCGGCTGTGGCAACTCCTGATTGCCCCAATACATAAAGTCGCCAATGGTTCGTGCATGGCGCCGCAATATGCTAAACACATGCTCCGCTATCGGTGAATTGCAGAGCTGCAATGCGTACGCCGTGATTGCGACATCATATGGCTCCGGCGTTTCTTTCAGGAATTGCATATTTCGTTCGATCCAGGCAACGGCTCGCTGAGTGGCCAGTGCCACACGCGAACCAAGAGTTCCGGACAGATCCTTGACGGTGGCCAGCGTGATCAGTACATGGGAGGTCAAGGTGATATTACGATTCCGTAGACTTGTGTAACTGGCAAAGTTTGTACGATTTATTTTACGATCCGGCAGCCAGGTGACCTCATAGAAAGCGCCCTCCGGCGTCTGATGCTGCAGCAGCCAGCGCATGTTCTTCTCAATGATCGTGGCATCGATCCAAATGAAGTTCTCCCACTCGTAGAACGAGGCCTCCTGGAAGATGCGCAAACAGTAGCTGGTCAACCACACCGACGACGCCGAATTATTCCAATCGGAGCGGAACAGCGAGAAGCTGCCGTCAGGACGCATGAAGCTCAATTGTCGCTGGTAGCCAATGTTCATGTGATAGAAGGCATTCCTCTCCAGCGTCTTGTTGCGCTGATTGATCAGACGCATGTACATAATCGTATAGAGATTCGCAGCAAAGCTGAACGCGTTCTGCTCGGCCGACTCCATTGGCAGATACAGCAGCGAGCTAGCGTTCACGGGCATTGTGGGGAATATGGGTCCAACCACATCACCGACGACAGAGATTCGCGCCCGATTCGAGCCATAGACAAAATAACGATCCACCTGGTAAGGTATTTCCGGTGTCTGGGTCACATTCACGTGCATGTACTCCAGCACATAGGCGCGGTTAGACAGATCCAGCAGAACCGATTGATGGCGATATTGCGGCAAGCCGTCCGATTCGACATGCAGTGTACGGGTGATCGTATCCGTGCCCAGTAGCGTCGCCACATGAAGAGTGACATCCACGTCGCCCAGTCGCTGCGGCACCACCGGCACATAAACCACCGTCGTGCCCTGAGCATCCAAATAGATAAAGAACTGATGTTCACCAAAACTCGTTCTCGGATTATAACTGCGTACAATGCCATCCTCTTCCACATGGACAAATTTGTAATCCGGACTGCCATGCAGCACAACCGTCGCCTCAATGGCCGTCGTCATGTAGTTGAAGACCGTGACACGGATGCCCACTTGTTCGCCCTGGCGACAGACCGTTGGCATCTCCACATTTATGAAGAACGGCTGCACGCCAACATATTCCAGGGCGCGATTCAGCATGCCAAAGCCCTTGGATGGACTAACGCTGAAAGCGCTGACCATCCAATAGGCGGGGCGGTCCGGCACATCCACATTGAATATATAACGACCATGCGGACCTATATTCACATCTTTCCACAGCCAAACGTTCTCGTAGTGCCGCAGCACGCGATTAAAGCGATATTTGCGATAGTTCAAGAGCTCCGTATCGTTTTGCACTCGACAGCCGATCTCGTCCGTGCCATCGTCGCAGTCGAATAGGCCATCGCAATGTTTCTCCAGGCGATAGCAACGTCCGCTCAGGCACTCACCATACCCCAAGGTGCGATTACAACTCTCCTGCCGGCGTGGCACATAGCCGTCCGTGAAGACAATCAATCCATTGTACTCGAACGTGCGATTCGCATCGATACCGAACGACGAGGCCGGGAAATAGACAAGCTCATCGGGATTGCCTTCGTGGGAGTACCAAATGCGTCTGTAAGTGCCATTTGTTTGCTCATCGAAATTGGACATTTTAGTGATAATTTTGGCATAGGTCAACTCGTTGCCCGCCTGCATGGTGTAGAAGGCGCTATCGATGCCAGAGAGACCCACATAGGACCCCGGCTCACCAAAGATGGCCACCTCAACTTTCTCGCCCGTACGTGCCTTACGATTGTTAATGTAGACCGTGAAATTGTTGCGAGAAATTCCGTTGACGGGGAAGGTTAGAGAGTCGGCCACCACTTGACCCTGCTGGGTGATCTTCCAGACCACCAAAGTTGCCACTGGAGCCATCTCAGCGCTGAGCACCACCGCAATGGTGCGTATACCCTCGATAATGGTTTCTCGATCATTAATCAGAATAACACCCTTGGACATGATGAGGTAGTTGAACTCCTCCAAGTGGAAGTTGGTGCGTATATGGAAGATGATGTACTCTCCCACAACCGGCTGTTCCGTGCTGGTGGTGATCTTGATGTGTTGATTGCGCGGTGAGTAGTGTGCGACGAGCAATAACTCAGTTTGAATGCGTTCACCTCGCGGATCTATAAAGACAGCCTGCAGGCGCATATTCTGTATACCATTGAGGAAATCCCTCGACTGTGGACGATCGTCTAGCTGCAAATCGTGGCGTAAATCAATCTTCACCTCCCAGACGCCTTCTGTTTGCTGGGACATATGCAGGCGCTGAGCGGGCCAGTCACGGCGTCCACCGTTGCGGCTCTCCACAAAGCCGCTGACCTCCATCAGGCCCTGACGCAATAAATAGGGATCTATGCGGGATCCATCATGATATTCCACCACCAGGTAGGTAGTGAAGGGCATTGCCGGCTTAAAGACCTGCGGCGATTCACCCAGAAACGCGACACGTAAACTGGAATTGTAGATACGTGCCACGGAATAGCCGCTGATGATCTCATCGTAGAATTTCTCGCCCACTGTCGCCGTAATGAGCACCTCCATGTTGGCCATATTCGGCACAAGCAGCTCCAATTCACGCAGCGGCCATTTGAAGTCGAAGGTGCCATTGAAGTACCTCAAAAATGGCAAGGTATTGCGATAGCTGCTCGTCCACGAATCATAGCTGTCCAGTACTTCCGGTTTGCGCACCCAGAATGGCCATTCCTCCTCGAATTGATAGTTCCGCTCCACAACGTATTGATTGCGATAGAGCAACTCCTGCGACAGATCCACGCCATCCTGCGGCAGCTGACCAGGCACATTAAATTGCTGATTCGGATTTTGATTGGGATTGTTATAGCGCCAGCGATCATTATATAAATTCATTTGCTCCAGCGGCGAGCGACCCAAACGAAATTTCTCATTAAGCACTTGGTTGCTGAAGTAGCCAATGGGTCGAATAGTGGCCTTCAGTGTTAGATTACCGCGCACGGGCAGACCGCTCGTAAAGTTAGCCATAACTCGTCCATAGATATATGGATCAGTAGTGAAGAAGTACGCCGGCATTGTGACATTGACTTCAAAGCGTGTCTGATAGTATTCCTCAACACTGAAGTGACTCTCCTCCTTCTGACCCTGGGCAATTACGCGAATCGTCCATTCACCAAATGTGGGCTGATCTGAGAGTTTGTATTCCAGCGAAACGGAGCCCAAATTCGATTGCCTGATAAGAATAAGAGATAGTTATAGTAAAGGAGTTAGTCAAGATTATGCAGATATTCATCATCTATCATACAATTACTATTCGGTATAATTATTGTATACTTCAATATTAAAAATCTGTTTAGTATATATCAATATTGCATAAATACTTACCTAGACAGCCAACGCTTAAGTATGTGTCCATTGGGATCCAGCATGTAGACATCGATGGTATTATCGAAGCCCTTCAGTTCTGTGGTAATCGGTATGGTACGGAATCGCACCGTCTCGCCCTGCATGTAGAGCGGCTTGTCGGTCTGCACAAAGATCGTCATCGAGCGTTGCGAGAAGTCAAGTCGCGTGTCATTTAGGAACGCAACGCCTCCAAACACATCTTGATAGAAACCCTCCACACGTAATCGATAATTTCCCGTTACACTTGTGGGCGGTATTCTCATCAGCAAAGTTTCGGGCACACCCTCCTTGACATCCTTGGAATCGCCACTAACTTGAACGCCATCACACGAGATACTCGCATGGACAGTGATTGGGTATTTCGCTTGAAGTATCGAAACGGAGACCTGATAAATTAGACCAGGACGCACCATGCGAGAGGCAACAATAAAGTAGGTGGGCTCGCGATTATGCAATGTCTCCAGAAATATGTTCTTCGTATTGTACGCCGACTTGCCGCGCTGCAAACTGGGCTCGTCGTCACCGTAGCCACCGATGCCCCCTCCCAGGCGCTTATTATAATCATCCTGAGTGCCTAAATCATTGTAGCTGCCATCATTGCGGTATACAGTTGGATTTGGATTTAGATTTGGATTCAAATTGGGATTCGTTCCGTATAATGGATTATTGTTATCGTATGTCGATGTGGGCTGTGGCAGCAGCGGTTGTTGTTGCTGCTGTTGTTGTTGTTGCTGTTGTTGTAGGTTGTAATAGCTGCCATCGCTTTGTGCTGCAACCAACTGCAGCAGCAGCAACGCATGCAGCATATGCCACAAGCGCTGCATCCTCTTCCAAGTAGTGACTGACTAGAAAAAAGAGAAAGAACACAAATTAGATGAAGTCAATCAATCAATGCGCGAAGTGAAGTGCATCAATTAACAAGTCCCTAATAGATATATGTATATATATACTTTATATATAGCTGCCTGCTTGAGCTGTTTTATCTTGTACGCTGTGCGTGTTTTTCGAGGCTCTTGTTTAGTCTGCTCTGAAAGTTCTTTTCCGCGTGCTGTTCAGGCAACCAAAACAGCAACCGCTAACATAACAGCACCTAGACAAGACAGAAAAGCGGACATGAACGAAACATGAGTACTGTGCAATAGAAGACAAAGAGAGAGTTTGAAGAAAATGCAGTGCAGCTCACGCTAGCTTTTTTACTTTTATTATTTATATATTCTCTTACTTATTTCATTCTCTTCTGTTTATTCCACTTCCTTTAAATACATTTTTTGAATAAAAATTTTTTAAAACAATAACAAAAATTTTTTTTAATAAAAATTTATCTTTTTAGCTAGATATTAAATTTAAATTTGTTCATGTTTTAGTTTTATCCAGATTGGAAAAACATGGAAAAGAGGTATATGATAGAGATATAAATGAAATAAACAACTTTAGGCATTTAGCACGCTTCACTATGAAGGGTATTAAAATAGGGCATTGCTTAGTTATTTATAGCAATTCCCAACTGGCAGGAATCATGCTACACAACTACACACATACATATCCACATGTGTTCCACACATACACATACAGCGTAGATTTAGACAACGCTCACAGATACACCCACACAAGGATTTACGCGCCCAAAATGCGACATTTAAATGATGTCAAATTTTAAGTTAAATGTCATTTCAAAGCGGCCGCGCAATTAGTCTTTGATATGGGATATGTGCCAAGCGATTTTCCTGGCAAGCGAAGAAAATTCGAAATAGACTTTACCAAAATTTACGACACAATCCGCACTGCCCCAGTTTAGTATTTGTGCTTGTGGGCATTAGGCCCTAGGCATTAGTTATTGGGAATTCAAAAAACAAACGGAAAATCCTATTCAATATAAATGGAAAATGAAAGCAAACAAATGTCATTATTAATTAATTAGAATTCTCACAGTAATTGTACGTAGTTTGCCAGTTAAAAAGCCGTCGATTGTCGGTGATGAGTGTTGCCACCCAGTTTATATTTGCTATGGAATGAAAGAAAGGAGAATAGAAGAAGAAGCTCTTGATGTTGTTACACAAGATAATCTATAATTTTTGTATCGACTACAGATTTTTTTTAAAGAGACTTTTTTCCGAAGATGATTCTAATTTATATTCATAAAACTTTTTTAGATTATCATTATTTATATATGTACTTTTTACATATCTCAAGCTAGCTATTATTCATTATATGTATGTACATCATTACTTCCTAAAAGTAATCAACGCTGCTTGCAAGTTTTTAGTGTTATTCTGATAACCTGCTGAGGGTCATCGCTAACATCTTCGATTATCGCTAAATTCCAGTGCGCTCAGTTTCCAAGAGCGTTGCCATCATATTGAATAATCTAATTTAAATGCTACATACATACTATTGCTTCTCTGGAATTGGAAAAATAACGAACTTTCGAAAGCTGCGAAATTTAACGCCACTTAAATTCAGACATTGACGAATTGAGTCGTATAATAAAAGGAAAATCAGCTTATCAAGATCATAAAAAAAAAAAAAAAAAAAAAAAAAAAAAACACCCCAACCACTAGCATAAGAAACAAAATAATAAAGGACAATATCTGCCTTAGGTAAAAGGACAACACTCTGAGGCAACCATAAAAAAACAAGCATAAAAAGGTGAGAGGCAAGGATAATTAGGTGCCCGGCAAACAAGCCGCACTTGACCCTCGGCCAAAAATTACAAAAAAAGAGAGGGGAAGAACATTTGAAAGGCAGTTGCCGGTAACGAACAAAATAACAAAGCACGCAACACAGAAGATAGTGTCAGTTACCTGTATGCGTGTATGCGTTAGACATGTGCATATGTGTGAGGGTATGTATGTGTGTGTTGTATGCTGTCTGCGCAGTGAAGCAGCAGAAGTCGCTGGCCGATGTGGAAAACAAACAGAGAAGAGAAACGGTTATAATAATTCAGCTGAACGCTGCTGCAAGAGCAACGGACAGTATAATCCACCCTTTTACTGCTGCAGAGAAGCATAGCGCACATGCATACACACTACATACACATTCAAGCTCACATATTTATATGTATGTAAAGTGGTATTAATTAGTGTAACGCGAGGGGTAAGGCAGAGCAAAAGTGCAATTGAAGTGCGTGCAAGGACTAAGCACACACAAATATGCAAAAAAAAAAAAAAAAAATTGAACAGGGGCTATGAAATTTGAGCATGGCTTAATTTCCAATTGGGCAGCAGGTGGCAGACGTTTGTCTTTACCTTTTTTTTTGCACTGAAAAAAAGGCTGCAGCCATTTTTTAAATGGTTTTGTTTTAACTAATGCATAAAATAGTTGTTAAAATTTGAAGAGCTTACGCTTACAATTATTCAATTTTTGGTCAACGCCCATGTGAGGGCAACAACAACATAATAACAACGCAAGCAGCAGCGCAGGTATTTGAGCAAACATTTTGGGCGGGTCACCGTTGCGAGGCGCTCTGGCCAGCACTCACCTGTTTTATGTATTGATGTGTGCTCGAGCAATGCTGAAAATCGGGCGCATTATTTGTAATAACAAAAGCAACACAAAATATATAACTTTTAACTTAAATGTTAAATTAATGAAACACAAAACCAACAGCACGACGCACGCACACAAGACCCCGCAACACGATGACTTATGCTAGTGACGTGCAAACAAAAACTGACGTTGGTTATCGCACCACACCCCTAACTATCGCATGCCATGGTTTCACAAATCTATCGATCTGGATTATTACGGTTATTCATTTCAAATCGAATAAATGGATTATTGATAATAATTTAAAAATTTGAATCTTTGCAATAGTTTTCAAGGAGTCCGGCTGTAAAACAAAATTCAAAATAAAATGCAATTTTTTGATGATGTAGCCAATGTTTTATTTTTATTGATATTTTGGTATTTCCGAACAGAAATTATATGATAATGAAGTAAAATCCTTGTATTAACTAACATTGAAATATTTTGATTAGTTTTTTGTACGGAATATTCGAAACTATCAGAAGCTATCGATATGCGGCATAATTGCTGGTAAACGATAGTTAAACCGAGTTGATTGATATTTCAGTATTTTTTTAGGGCAAATTGTGTGACCAAACTTGAACGGGCAATAAATGCCTACAGTTTCAGGAGTGTGTGTGTGTGTATTGTATGCGTGTGATGTAAGGTCATTCGCGTGAAAATATCAGCGAGGAAAAAATCGAATTTTTGTGTTTTGTGTGCTAGGTAAATTTAAAATGAGTGCAAAATAATGCAGCTAAGAGAAGTGCGGTCATTAAATTAATGAAATTTGTGTATGCTAATGTGCGGTAAGCACGTGCAGAATTGAAATTCTATGCCAACTCAAAAATTATGAAGAAAAGCAGCAGCAGCAGAATACTCATACACTCGCACTCCCACACACACACATGCAAAAGCAGGCAAGCACGCACAGACACATATACACACACATATTTATATATATATACTTGAAAGCGGAGGAGCTTGAGCTAGAACCTAGAGTTGTCAACGCTGTCCAAAGAATTTCGTCATTGAGAGTGTCGCGTATTGTGTATGTTTGTGTGTGTGTTTTGTGCGTGCCTTGATTGCATATGTGTGCGTATGTGTGTGGGTATAGTTCTGGTAGTAAAACAAAAAAAGAAAAGCAATCTGCAAAAAAAGCTAATGAAAGAAGTGAATTCCATATAATTTGTTGAAAATATACGGCAGGTGTAATACAGCAGGCTACATCTGTCTAGATCAAATTCGCCAACGCTTGAAAAAATGAAAAACTATTACATAAATAGTACAAAGTGTAAATGTAAATGTTATTGAAAAGCGCAAGGCGAAGGTGCCGCCGCTACTGCTGCTGTGACCGTCGCGCACGCTGTCGTCATCGCGGCTAATAAGAAGAAAAAACAATAAAGAAGAAATAGGAGAAAAAGTGGGAGCAGCTAGCAAAAAAAGAAATTCCTGTAACTATATTTTCGCTCAATATACTCATTGTTTGCCATTTCTCGATACATACAGACAAATTAGATATACATATATAAATTATATATATATATATATATATATATATATGCTTGCTTCTATCTCGTGACTTGTAAATGTTGAGTATATTGACTCCTTTCTGGTCACACAAATTAATATTGTGAAAATCAACTAATAATTGCTATTGAGTGTGGGCTGTAGCAAGGGACGCGCGGTTGGTCACACTATATATCTGCGTGTGTGAGTGACCTCGTGTCGGTGTGTCGCGTGCTTGCGCCTGTGTGTGTGTGTGTGTGTGCGGCAGCGGCAAGGAGTGTCATGCGTATTTTCCTGCCTCTCCCACGACGAACGCTTCGTATCAACAACAAGCTGAATACGCGTTGCTCCTTTGCTCCAACGAGTTTTATCTTGTTTTCCGTTTTAATCATATGCGGGTGCTGAGAGACAATCACGTCATCCAGCCTAATACACATATACACATACGCACACTATAAAGTCATTTATGTTAACTTTAGAGCTGAGTCGCAGCTGTGTGCGTGTATATTTGTGTGGGTAGGCGGTCCATCAATTCTATTGTTATTAATATTGTTTTTTCTTCTCATTCATTTTGAGCTTAATCAATTCAATTAGCGTGTCCACATACTATATACATATACATACATATGTATATAAACATATATTCCTATATGTCTTTCTTTCTTTCTTATCCTTATCAATGGGTAACACTTTAGAAGAGTGACTTGATGTTACACAAATAATAACAAAATTACTCAAATTCATATAATAATAATGTTAGAGATGTCACAAAAATTATGTTTGCCGCTGATTAATAATTGGTCAGCAGCATCACATCATCGACTTAGTTTTTGTTCCCATTTTCGTAAGTCAGTTAGCTAGCGCATGTGTTTGTGTGAACAGTAAATAAAATATGACCGGGACACTGAGTCATGGCTGCTCGATGACGTTATGCTGCGCTAAAAGGCAATTTGTCTCGCAAGTGGTTCTAACTTTGCCAATAAAACTGAAACTTTATCGAACAAAAAAGAATTATAATAATGGTTTATCAATCGATATCGAGTTCGGCTGGCAATCGATAACATGAGATTATAACTAACTATACTATTTTTTGTATAAAAAATTAATTTTATGCTCTCGCACACACACATACAGCGAGCAGAGCTAAACAATATTGAGCTCGGCTCACAGTCTATAACATGATTTGAGCTATCGCGCTCAGGAGAAGTTGCAAAATGTTGAACAAAAATACAGGATAAATTAGTATTGCTATTGTATTATTATGCGTTTGGCTTTATAAGTGCGCGCGCGTCTTTTTTATTTTTTTTTTATATATTTTTTTTTTTTAGCCTAGCAGCTACCCAGCAAAAATCATGTTGAAACTGCTGCCAACCGCTTTCAGGCAGCTTTTCAGTGCCACTGAAGTCGCTTCCCTCCACCCCCTGCAGACGTAGCCGTAGTCCCTCTTTGTCCATTGCTGCGATACGTGAACGTTTTACGTTGTTGCCGACTTGTATGTTTGTATGAAAATACTGCAATGAGCTCCTTATCTTAATTAAGTATGTATGTATGTATGTATGTATGTATGCATGTGTGTAAAAATATGTGTCTATGAGTATGTGTGGAATATGCGTATAAATTGTGACGGAAACATTCAGTGCGAATGCCGCCGCATGCACGTCGTTGCGGGGTAAACAAACTGCCGTTGCTCTGCAGCAGCTGCCGGCGTCTCAGTCGGCGTCGTTGCCTCTGCTTTTGCTGATAACACTGCTGACAAACGAATTTCAATATAAAAGTAACAGCAAAAACAATGAGCTAAGAACAAATCTGTACGACTTTTATCAGTCAGCCATGACGACGTCGCTGTCGGCGTCAGCCTGTTAATTTTTGCTCTCCTCTTCTTTTTTTTTGCCTACTCGCTCACTTGGTGTACAACGGCCAGTTCAGTCTGCTCGCTGATTTCGTTGCGTTACGTTTACGCTTACGTTGCTGCTGTGTTCCGTTCTGTTGTGTTCCGTGTCCGTTTTTTCGCTATTTCTTTTGGTCAGTGTCTAGTATTAGTTCTAGACATAGATTTTAAAAGTGTATGAAACTAAATAGAAATATATCTAAAAAAAAAAAAATAAAAAAAAGAAGGAATGAAGTTCCAAATTTACTTGCCATAATTTGAGCTTTGACTCATTTCTGAGTGCGTTTGCTTTTGAGCATTTTGCATGGACGTCAATGTGGCATATTTCAATTTTTAGTTTGCTAGCCAAAAATTCCTCGACCCCCAGTTTCGCTGCGTGCCTGTGCTTAAATGTGAATGTCTTTATGTGCCTGCGTGTGTGTGTGTGTGTATGAAAGAATGAGAAAAAGAGCTTTTGGCTACGCATGTAAATGAATAACGTCAAAAAAAATTAACGCGACAAACATAAGAAATTAGCAAAGAAGGTGCAGCTGAATGCTTTTTGCCTCAAGAGCCCTTTCGCTTCACAAGCCATTGCGCTGTTAGCACGTGTGCAGCATATAATGCTGACGTCGATAATAAAAAAATAGGGAGAGAGAAAGAGAGACAATGAGTGTAAGAATTATATTTAGTTGAATTCCCGTTTAGTTTTTATGCTGTTGCTGCTGCTTTTTCACATCCTTGAGTTAGCTTCTCTTTCTCGCTCTCGCTCACGCACTTAAAGACGCCGCGAGCATTTCTCTCTGTTTTCGTTTTATTTTGAATTTATGTATTTTTAAATTTTGTGCAAGAAGCATAAAATTTAAAGTGAGCCAAACGTGAAGAACGCCAAAAAAAAAAAAAAAAAAAAAAACAAAAAAAAAATAATAATAATAATAATAAAAATACAAAATAAAAATATATAAAATTGACAAAGAAACAAAATGAAATGAAAGCTAAATTGTTTATTTACAAAAAATAATCTTTTTCTCTATATCTATAAAAAAAAAAAAAAAAATAGCGACGAGAAATAAGAACAAAAGCTGGAGCTGGTTAAATAAAGAGAAAGAGCAAAAAGAGAAGAATCGTCAGAACAAAACACAAAAATAACAAACCAACCAACCAACAAAACCAACCAACAAACAACATCAACTAATATCAAATTTAATGTTAAGCATAATTAATTACAACAAATTAAAATCGTATAATTAAAGCTATACATAAAGTAATATTAATAATGATATAGTAAGTTAATCATAAAGTACAAAAAAGCATAAATATAAAAAAGTAAATAATAAACAAGCAACAACAAAAATAATTAATTAATCAGCAAAATTAGTTAAAGCAAATTTAATATGCAAGCAATTTGAAACGACAACAACCACAATAATAACCAACAACCAATAAAATAATTACAACAATTCAACAACACAAGCAACAACAACACGGATCAATACCAAAGATGGAGGCAAAATTCTTGGCTAGCGCTCTTTCATTCCTCTCGATATTTTTAGCGGTTCATGCTCAATCATTTGGTAAGTAGACAACAACAACAACTACAATTACAACTACAACATACAACTATACAATAATTAACAATAAATTAAAAAAAAAAAAAAACATTAGCCAAGCAACCCCCCAGTATATGTATACAGTTACATACATATATGTATGTGACCCTATATTTAAGCTCTATATATGTTTGTCGTATACATTCTCTAACTGTGTAAGTGTACATACAAAACTGCAGCAGAAATTGCAAACAAAAACAAAACTACCAAAATAGAGAGGAAAAGAAAAAATTGATAGTATGTCGTCTCCCTCGCCCTTTCACCCTCGGCCCTAATTGCCTGGTGCCTGGCCGAACATATTTTTTCTCTGTGTCAATTTTCAATACAGATATTTAATTTTTTTTTTTTTCCAACTCCCAGCTGAATTTTTGAGTGTGATAAATGCAGTGCAATTGCCGTTCTTTATGCATTTAGTGATACTATTACAAATATATAGTTGATACCTCAATGAGCTTTCGATATTATATAAACATTTTTAAATTTAATTTTGTTTGAATAGTTGAAAGCTGAAAATAGTATTTTTCATATAGTTTCTCATAAAAAAAATATTAGTATACAATATAAATAATTTAAAGCACTTCAAAAGTTTTTCGAAAAAAAAAAATATTAAATTTAATTAATTTCCCCTTGTTTTGAATGGAATTGAATTTTGATCTTAGCTAATATAAATTGATGATAATATGAATATAATATCGAGCATATGTTGGCGTATTCCACACATATATGTTTCCTTTAATTTATTTTTAAACATTATTAGCGTTAATTAGAAACATATTGTTATAGATAGTATTACACTAATCATGATTTTTTGTTCATGAACAAAAGATGTTAGTGCTGAGGACACTCGAAGTTTTTGTTGTTTCTATGATAATATTGCCCCAAAGCTCTGCTGGGTTTTTGCCATACACAAAGAAACACACACACATATACGTCATAGAACATAACATAACACACATATATATATATATATATATATATATATATATATATATATATATATATATATATGTATATATATCTACATATATTGAGCGAACACTTTCCTTTGGTTTTTATTTTCTCTTTTACAATGTAAGCACAACACCCCTTGGCCCCCGTTCGCCTCCTCTAGTATTCTCCGCCCACCCCCCTCTTAGAGGCCGTCAGGTTTTTTCTTGCCCGCTCTTTTTCGTGTCTCTTTCTCTCACGCTCTCTCTCTCTCTCTCTCTCACTTTCTCTCTCCCTGTGTCGCCCGTTCGGTCTTTGTCTATCTTTTTGGCCTTTAGTTAAGTGTACTTGTGCTTCGATATTTTTGTGTTGCTTTTTATAGTTTATATTGTTGGTTGGGTTGGGTTTGCCTACTGAGACTGCGACTGCGGCCGGTTGACTATGTGTGCGTTTCGCCACCTCTACCTCTTTCTCCTTCGTCTTCTCCTCCTGCTGTACCTGTTCTCTGCTTCTTCTGCTGCTATTGCTCATTTGATTTTCAATTTTCCACACAATTGCAAAAATGAAAAGAGAAATACGAAAAGAAACAACAAAAGCATCATCTAAAATATATTAGGTTCACTTTAGTATTTCAGTTTAAGTCTCATGATGTTTTTCTTCTATATTTTCCACAATTTTAATTTCCATTTTTTTCTTTACACGGTCGCCAGGTAAGCAGAGCGCCCCAGTCTTTGCCGGTTGCCCGCAGACAATGTCCGAATAGTTGTTTATATTAACTCATCAACCCGGTACTAGATATCCAATACTACATATACTATGTACATGGTTGTATAATATACATATATTATTATGCCTAATATACATACATGGTCTATATACTTTGTACCGGCTGTATTGTTTACACCTACCCAGTTTTGGCCATCAAAAAGTTCTCTTTATAATAGCCTTTGCCTTGGCGCTCGACTCCAAACAATTTATTATTCTAAGCATATCTGTTCGATATCTATCTATATAGCTCTATATAACCCTAGCTATTTGGCAATCTCTTTATGTATGTATTCCACAGTCAAGATGTATTTCATTCGAGCTTTTGATTATTTTGTATTTCATTTCATTTGATTTTGTGAGCAGCATTAAACTCTATAAATTTTGCTTCTATTAAAATGATTATTGTTTAAAAACAAAAGGAGGAATAAAAATCAACCAATGAGATATTTATTGAAGATTTCATTCAATTTGAATATCATTTCAATTCATAAGTAATTCAACCAATAAAACTGAATTTATAAATGGATGAGAGAATCCATTGATAGATCTTTAAGATCTTATAATTTATTTGTATTTTTATGAATATAAATAAATCTTTATCTTTGTTTATTGGGTTAATTTATATACTATATGTTTTAAAGAAAATCCTAATGATAATATATGAATATTTTGGTTTATAGCTCGATTTGTTTCTTTATATTGGGATCAAGTGTATGTCACTTATATTTCAAAGTTTTTATCTTCTTTATAAATTAGAATATTGTTTATGATTACATAAAAGATTTAATATTATGTTCAGTTCTTTGCGGACTCTCATTTCCCAAAATAAAATGAGTAAATAATGATAAAAGGAATTCACAAATTCAAAAATAAGAGAATATTATATGAATTTGATTTCCATAGATGTACTCTATATGTTTAGATACACAGCTGAATCCCAAAACTTACTTCCAAAAAATTTAAGATTTGTTCACTTTTGCAATGTAAAGCTAAATATATTTAGGTATTCAAGTATTTATAATATATGAATTCATAGCATTCGATTTTAGGGAATTTCACTGTTCGTCGTAATCCACTTGCTCAGGTGCTCATTTAATCTATGTATGTGATTATCAAATTTGTATTTTGCACATGTTTCTGTTTCGTTTTCTGTTTTCCCTTTATTTTATAATTATTTTATGGTACAATATTTTCAATGCCTCTTTGTTGTTGTTGTTGAACTGTTTGCGTAAATAAACGGAATCATACGTAAAATAATGGAAACCTGGGCGAACATTTTTGATATTGCAAATGCTAAATATTGTCTATATATATATGCAAACATATACAGATGTATGTATGTGTGCATATATTATGTATATATATAAACCCGTATGACCAAGCACTATATGAATCACGTATGTTCGAGTCGAGTTGTTGGCCTCCTGCCTAGAGAGATTTATCAAGTATTCGTTATCCATACTGATTTGTTGTTGCTTCTATGCATTAATACTTTGATACACTACTAACAAGTATATACATTTTTATAAACATTGTGAAGTGAATGATCTTGTGGACAAAGCAATGTTACTTTTGTGTGTCGAGAAAGTATCTTAAAAGAGCATTATGTGCTTTAAGCCAATTTTAATGCCTCAAAGTTTTCAAAAGCGAACTGTAAGGTAATGGGGCTTATATTTACTTGTAAGGTATAATTGAATATTCGACTATATTATACAGTATAGTATAAAAGTATCTCAATATATAAACACATTTGCCTACCAATGCTAAATATCTTTAGAGTATTTGCACTTCATCCATGTCCGTGCAACTCTTTTCTCTGAATCTTTTATTTGCCATTGTTTTTTCTATCCGATTACTTCAAAGCGAAAATTTCGTTTGGTCCGAGCGAAAAAAAAAATAGAATGAAAAGCTAAACCACGTGTTGTCCAGGTGTTTATGTTGGCTTATGGGAAGGTATATATTTGCATATCACTTTTTTTTTTAGCTCTTTCACAATTTCCCGTCCTGTGCCACATTTTCATTTGACGAGTTTTTTTCGGCGCAGGTTTTTGAACTCCCCATTGAACAACAACAATCATTATTATTGTTTGTATGTACAGTGGGGCTTACCTGTTTTGTTAGCCTTGTTTATTTAATGGCATTTTCATTACATTAATAAATGTCAAATATTGAAATTTGCCGGCTCACCCAAGTCTTGTACAGTGGAGCAAACTGCGTGTTCCTTAACTCAATTTATTTTGATTAAGCAAATAATAAGCTTCTCAATCTTTGCAATATAAGGTATTTTCAATTTAATTTAATTTAGATATCGTTTATCTTAAATTTCCTAGAAATTTGTACTTACATGAGTTAACGCTTGATTTGAATCTGGTTCTATAAATGTGTTTGGTTCATATTTTCTTTTTGTGTCTGATTTCTCCTCCGCCTACTGCAAAAATATTATTTTTATAAAGACAATAAACATGAAATGTAATTTCCCTTTCAATGTCGTCGTCGACGTTATTGTTGCTGTTGTTGCTGCTGCTGTGTCATAGTGAAAGAAAAGTCGCGTCCGCCCCTTGGGGTGCGTAGGCGTGCCAACATTGTTCTATTTGCCTTTGCTGCATTTGCATTGCCTGCAAACTTGAATAGTTAGCACATTTTGATATATAGAGGTTGCCTCTGTGTTTCCGCTTGTGCCAGATAATGACTGCTTAAACAGAGCGAATGTAACCAAGCAGACACACCCACACACACATACACTCAAAGATAGCGAGAGTGAGAGAGCGAGGCAGATGGGAAGTTACGGTTTACAATTTCAGTACAGCGTAAACTACAGTGATGAATAGCATACATCTACATCTACATCTTTTTATTAATTAATTTCTAAATGTAGGATAAAATAATTATATTTTTATTCATATTATTATTATTATTATTATTATTATATTATATTATATCATATTTGTATAATATATTATATAATTGTGATTATTTCATTATTTTTATTGATATTTACAATTTTTTCCAGTATTAATATTATTGTTTTTTATTATGATTAAGTACTATTACTGTTATTATTATTACTCTTATTGTAATATTATATTACAAGTCTTTTTCTAATTCCAAGACTTACTTATCCTTCTATTCATATTCAAAACAACACAATTTCTAAAGCCCAACATCAGTTTGAAAGGCTTTAAAACATATTGCTCACTCAAGTGTGTATTTACTGTAACTATATGTATGTATTGGTATATCAGCGAATTGCACCTTTTCGCAAGTCTCTC